GCATTGTAGGGCCTAAACCATCCAAGCTGTATGGTAAGTTCCCATGGAAGATTGAAAAGTTTTCTCAAATTAAAAAGCGGGAACTTCGGAGTGATGTGTTTGAGGTTGGAGGATATAAATGGTATGTTGCCTTCACTAAAAAAAATTACTTACTCGTATTATTATAATCATACTATGTAATTATTGAAGATTGTTTTTCATTGCTCTTAGAATGTTAAACGTCTCCTTTACTGTTTATCTTTTTCACTAAGCGTTGATTATGATTAAGAAAACCATGCACCCTAAACAACTATCTCTATTTTCCAATTACTATATTATAATAATATCTTCCCTTGATGTGAAAAGTTTCACAAGCACAATGCTTTCAAAACCATCCGAGTTAAAATATATTGTACCGTCCAGCGTGTTTGGTTCTTTTTATTCAATTAGTTGCTTCACAAGATATTTTTGAATCAACGGTGAGCGCAGGTATATTCTTATTTACCCCCAGGGATGTGATGTCTGCAATCATCTATCTTTGTTCCTTTGTGTGGCTAATCACGAGAAGCTTTTGCCAGGTTGACAAAATTTTCAACTCATATAACTCTCTTCATTAATCAATTTTCTCTTATATTTGATATTTTGTTTCTGTCTTTTGGAATTCAGGGTGGAGTCATTTTGCCCAGTTTACAATAGCTGTCGTGAATAAAGATCCAAAGAAGTCCAAATATTCTGGTCAGTGAATGGTTTATGTAGCTTATTTTTAGTTGTTTTTTTTGTTCTCAGTGATAACATTATGTTGCAAATGTGCCAGATACGTTGCATCGTTTCTGGAAGAAAGAGCATGATTGGGGTTGGAAGAAGTTCATAGAGCTATCAAAGCTGCTGGATGGTTTTCTTGATGATGACACACTGATAATTAGGGCCCAAGTCCAATTACTCAGGTCCTTGAATTGTTGAATGTCATCTTTTGCTAGTCAATTGCTTGTGATTGTATGAACTTTATATTTGCTTGTGTGAGTGCTTGCCGTTTAAGTTATAACTTATAATTATCAGCATTTGACTTTTTAGAAAATTCGTAAGCACGAGCCTGTGTTGTCCACATTTTTTTCTTGAAGATTTTGGAAGTGAACAGAAAGAAGTGATTCCATATGAAGATCAATGCCTAGCTCACCCAAGGAAGAGAAGGAGGGAAATATACTATGGCATTGACTAGACTGTAGACACATTTGTTTCTCCATAGATAATCATCTTAATCTAACTGTAAGACCTTACATATGCCATTACTAGAGCCCGAGGATGTGATACTGTTCTAAAACTAATATGATCGTGAAGCTGAGATTGTCGGCAAGTGTTTTGTGCACAGTGTTGTGAGTACATTCAGAATTGACCAAAATTGTAATTTGTGTACCTCAATTTTGCCATATCGTTGCTGACCTGGAACCTATCATGGCATCTAAGGTCGGCAAAACCGGCTTTCTTCGTCCAATTGTCATCTTCTGCAACCTCAACAAAAAGATGCCTATGCAACAGAGGTGCCCCCAAGTCCATTGTTTATCACAATTATAGGGCAGGCCTTTGGCTGGGCTGGACATGGCTTCTGTTTAAGTCAGTTGTCACTGAGCTGGAGTACGCTGGCAGAGGGTGACATAATCAGGTGATATCGGTCCAGAAAGCAGTTTTGGCCTTTCTGGACTGCCAGAATTTCAGAGTTCAACCTCCAAACAAATCACTTCGAGAAGACTTCTATGAATGCTTTCACTTTAAATTGGATGGGCAAGCCATCAATGCGTGCCAGGAGAATCTAAAAACTTCTAATAACTTCAACACCGTGCTATATTCTTATAATTGAAAGAGATATCCTTTAGGATTGGTGTTTGAGGGCAGCCTAAAGTGGATAAGGCAGCATTATGAAAAAGTGAACAAAAGGATGCCTACTTCAAGCATGTCAAAAAAGAGCTTTGCATCGCCCATCATGTGGAACTTGGCCAAGCCCACCTGTGCCATTTGAGGTTTGTTGATGAATGAAGAACTACTCACATCGCTTCAACCAGCGTAATTGATAGGCCGTACCGTCACATGAATTTCCAATTTTTAATAGTGTTGGACCATAATGGCATACTTGTCTTGTTGGTGCTAGTTGCACCGCATGGGAGTGGAAATCAGATTCTGCTAAGGCCAAGGCCCTTGCTACTGTGTCCGAAACCTTTGGTTCAAGATTTGGGTTTGATCCTAAAAGGTCACGTGATGTTCAAAAAATAGAAATTTAATGGAAGAGAACATAGTTAAGGCCCCGTTTGGTGAGCCCATGAGATTTGAACTGTTGGTTGATTTTCTCCATGAAAGTTTTCAGCGTGTTTCGGTTAGAGTTTTATTGTCGTGGATGCTGATACCAAACTGTTGGGCACGAGTATTCTCCTCCACAGTCTTCTTGAAGATTCAAAACAGAACAAAAAGAAGCGATGTTTTTGAACAGCAATCAAGCTTATCTTTCCCTAGGCAGAGCCAATCATGTTATTTCAACTATAAAGCTATAATCCTATATAAATGCCATTACAAGAGTGGATGGAGGTAGAAAAAGGAAATAATGTTCTAAACTAATACGAGTTTGACAAGTACACTGCATAACCAAAAGTTCCACACTAATACTCCCTTTGTCGTGTATTAATCATCCTACTTTTCTTTTTGGTCCGTCCCAAAATAAGTGTTGTACTTTTTCACTTACCCATTAAAGTAAAGAATATATGGTCTACAATCTTTCTCTTTCTTCTAAATAAATTTCAACCACCCACTTTTTACTTTTGAAAACTTTTCTTAAACTCTGTGAAGTCAAACTAGGACGATTAATTCGGGACGGAGGGAGTACGAATGGTACTGTGAAAATGCACAAATAAATTAATCACTAATAATAGGAAGCTGCTGAATTAATTATCCTGAATTGCTTTACACTCAATTGCTGCGCTCGGGCTTGTCTCATGCAGCCTACATTCCTATAACACTGCTGAAATGTCTTCCTAGTGAAGGTATTCATTGCATAAATATGATACTAGCCGAACCGAATTCAACTAATGTTCTCCTAAATCCGTCTCGACCCCGTTTCTACCTACCCAAACAAGCCATTTAGGGCTTTGGGCGAGTTAAGCAACTGCATTCAGGTTACCGTTTTATGATTTTATCGTATGTCTATTGAGAACAATTTCCTTTCGAGTTGGCAAAAATTATATTTTGTAACAATGGCAATCGGGCTTTGCTTGTCCTTTGGCGGAACCATCTTTTGTTCTAACTAATTGTGTTCATATTTGTTATATGCAGGGTGAGACAAGATCGTCCGTTTCGTTGCCTTGACCGTCAGTATCGACGGGAACTAGTTAGGGTATATTTTACCAATGTTGAACAAGCTTGTCGCCGTTTTGTTGAAGAACATCGCAGTAAACTTGGAAATTTGATAGAGGATAAAGCTAGATGGTCAAGGTGGGGCTTTATTATTTATTTTCTTTTATTGATTTACATATTTATATATTATCCTTGATGCATGTTTCCCCTAAAGATATTCTAGCATGTTAAAAATTTGGATTTTCCTTATTAGTCAATATACCTCATTCTATTTGGTTTATCAGTCAATTCTGTTATTCTGGGTACTCTCAGGCAAAAAAGCTTGTGTGGTTGATGAAGTTTGATTTCATTATGTTGTTTCACCAATGCCCCTACAAGCTCTATTTGATTCATTTCTTTCATGTGCTATATATATGCTGCAATTTTTGAAGCTTGGTATGAAGTTTAATCTGTATATCTTATGCTGTTTCAGCTTCTGTGCTTTCTGGTTGGGGATGGACCAAAATTCCAGGCGCCACATGTCTGAAGAGAAATCAGATGCAATATTGAAAGTAGTAGTGAAGAACTTTTTTATAGAAAAAGAAGTTACTTCTACATTAGTGATGGATACCTTGTATAGTGGACTCAAGGCATTAGAAGGTCAACATGCGGGGAAAAAAGGAAACGTTAGATGTTCGGATCTGGAGGAACAAACTGTTCCAATTGTTAGGATGGAGAAAGACACATTTGTGTTGGTTGATGACATGCTTCTATTGCTTGAGAGAGCGATCACGGAGCCCTTGCCACTAAAGGTTGAGAAAGGTCTTCTGAACCGCACAAAGGTGAGTGACTGTGTATCTTTCTTTCTGGAAGGTGATGCTTTTAAGGGTCTATTTGGATAAAGGGATTTAGAGGGTAGTGATTTGAAGGGATTCACACACACACACACACACACACCCCAAACAGAGTGTGTTAGGGACGAGTCGGGCTTGGGGGGTTTGCAAGGGGTGTTAGGAGCACCGTAGCTACCCCAAACGGAGTGTGGTAACATTTGTTGTAAAAAAATTTGTTGTAAGATTAAACCCATTATATATATATATACTCCCTCCGTCCACATTTAAAGTTCCCGCTTTGACTCGGCACGGAGTTTAATAAAAGTTAAAATTTCCATTGACTTTCCCAAAATACCCCCAACCCTACCCACGCCCCATCCATACTCACGCCCCATCCATATTGAGTATGGACTGCCAAGACCTGTCCCAAATTCCTTCAGTCCTACCCCATTCCAGAGAGAAATTCCGGCGAACTCTGGCCAGTGTAAAATTCCGGCGACCCGAATAAGATGAAAAAGATTTGATTCGGATTTCCTCATCTACCTCGAAGAAGATGAAGATGTAAAAGATCTGAAGACGATTCTTCGTCGATTTACAGATCTGAATCGGTTTTCTCAGATCTAACGACGAGGAAGAAGAAGAATAGAAAGGACAAATCAAAAGAGGGGAGAAGAGGAAGAAGAAAAAGTAGTAGAAAAAGAAGAATAGAAATGAAAAATCGAAAGGGGGAAGAAGAAGAAGAAGAAGAAGAAGAAGAAGAAGAATCAGAAGGCGATGAAGATTATGAAGGAAAATTCAGAAGGGGGAAGAAGAAGAAGAATGAAGAAGAAGAAAGAAAAGAAAAAATCTGGGAAGAAGAAAAGAGAGAGTGAGAGAGAGAGAAGGAAAGAAGAAGAATAGAAAAGAAGGGGAAAAGGCACTGACGGGGAAAAGGAAAAAAAAAGAAAGAAAAAAGGGAGAGGAGAGGAAAGGAGAGGAAAAAGAAAAGACAAAGAGGGGTAATTGAGTCTTTTTAATAAGAGAAAGTTGCCAAAAATAGAAATGGGAACTTTAATTGTGGACATCCAAAAAAGGAAAGTGAGAACTTTATTTATGGACGGAGGGAGTATGTGTGTGTATATGTGTGTGTGTGTGTGTATATATATATATATATATAATCTGGGTATGTAGGCCCATTGTATAGTTAATTGTGGTATATGCAGAGTTGTTTTTTCCAATTAAAAGTTACCCCTACCCCACCACAAAAAAACTACAACTGGAAAAGTACATGTTCAGCAATACTTCAATTATTAATTGTTGTTTCCCTTTTTTACTTTCTGAAATTCTTTTCCTATCAGGATGAAACTTCAGGAGACGACCCTAATAAGGACTCCATTGAGCAGGATGAAAGACGCCTTACTGAATTGGGTCGTCGGACAATTGAAATAGTTGTCATGGCTCAAATTTTCAGGTAAACTTTTATTCTGATTTTCATTTCTATGCCTCACATTAAACGCATGATTTACATCCTTTCATATATGTACTTGCTAGATGCTGTTGGAATTGGATAATCTTTCCATTTTCTTTTTTGTTGGATTCAACACTATCATTGATATGTATGTACGCATGTGGAACTCCATATTTAAAAACTATGAACCCCATGGGAGTGAGTTTTGTACCTTATTAGATTTCTTAATCATTTCTTTGTTGAGGAAACTGGATGCTCCTGTTTCTTTGATACTTTGATGCTTCCATTGCTCTATTTTATCTGAAAATAGATTTACACATTCTTAGATGCTGTTTTATACACTATATAGTTTATAGATACCGGTATGCTTAACTAGCTAGTAACAACAACAACAACCCAGTTGGGTCCCACAAAAGTAGGGTCTGGGGAGGGTGCCCCTACTCGAAAATATGGGAGGCTGTTTCCAGGAGACCCCCGCTCAAGTAGCATACAGACAGTATAAGAGCACAGAAGACACATAAAAGCAGAGAAAGCACAGAGCATGCAAAGCATACACAGCTCGCAAAACACACAACAAAGCATACAACGTACACAACTAGCTAGTAGTTCTGTGTAATCATGATAGTGAGAGTTTTAACCCAAGACATCTTTTTATAATTCATGCATTGCAGGAAATCTAGAATGCCAAGTGCTTTTCTTCTATTCTATAAAATATCCCAAATCCTTAGCTTTGCGTATATAGCCATAAGCCATTGAGATCATGCCCCTCTTCTCTCTTGTGAATATAGTTGGAGTAAAATGGCCCTTTATAATTATTTTAGATGAATTTAGCTCAGTTCGGACATTGGATAAAGATTCAATATGAGGCGTATCGAAATTGGAACCTAGTTCTTAGCATTTGGGGTGAATTTCAAAAGTAATCTATATGGATGTTTGTTGTTAGTCACATTGTACTCTTCTTTTTTGATTCCTCGTGGGTTCAAGATCCTCTAGATGTCATTAATTTTATGTTCTTAGTTTCTTTGTATTAGTTACTTTCATTTGAGCCAGAAGTCTATCAGAGACAGCCTACCTATTGCTTTCAGTAGAGATAAGGTCTGCATACATCCACCTCCCTTAGACCCCATTGAGTGGGACTTCAATGGATAAGTTGTTCTTCTTGTTATTTACTTTATTTGAATTCAGTTAACTTTGGCTGTCTAGATCTTTTCAATTATGTTGATTTTCTATATAGGTGATACCCCTAATAATTTCTATTATGCAGTAAAATTGAGGGTGAATACAAGGAGGCAGTTGCTTTGAAGAGGCAAGAGGAACTTATCCGGGAAGAGGAGGAGGCTGCTTGGATAGCTGGAATCAAGCATAAATCTAAGCAGGGAACATCAGAGAAGGAGAAGAAATCAAAGAAAAAACAGGTACTCCGTATTATATATTTATATTTATTCCCTTTTGCTGGAAAATAAAGAGTGAACTTTGTTTTGTGTTATACAATTGGGCATCATTTTGGAAGTTGGTTACATATCAGTGTTCAATGGTTAATGTTGGACTTGTTATTTAACTTTTCGTATTGAGGATTGTTTGATGTTTATTTTGCTTGAATACTTTGTTGATGGTAAGTGGTGGTGTATATATATATATATATATATATATATATATATATATATATATATATATATATAGACACACACACACGTGTGTGTGTGTGTGTGTATATATATAGATCAAGTGGACTAGTTATTTAATCATGGAAATATAGAACTTTGTTATGTGAAATTTTGAATGTATATTGTATTCCTTAACAATATGATTAGATGAATGGACTTTATATTTTCTTTTTTTGGACGTCTAAAGATTAACTTTACATTTTTCTACTCTCTATTTTAGGAAAAATGTGGACATCTTTAATTTTCTCACTTCCAAATAAATTTCATCCTCACAATTTATACTTTTCACCAAACATCTTTCATCTAGTATGTTACCCAAACATTATTTAGCCGACCCCAAGTTTCTTGGGACAAGGGTTCTGTAGTTTAAAATAGCCTGAACTTTATTACAACTATGACATTGTGGTAAACGGTCCAAAATACGGAGTACGTAGCTTTGGATTTCCCTAAAAAGAACTTTAGATCTCATATAGCTAAGCCAAACAGAGCCCAAGTTTTTTTGCAAGTATAAAAATAAATGCTCTTACTTCAGGCCAAACAGAAACGCAACAATCGCAAAATGAAGAATACAGGGAAGGTGGATGAAAAGTCTAGTGTGATTTTGCATGACAAGGCCGCCGAAGGAGAGCTTTCTGAAACTGAAGGAAATGAATGTATGGCTGAGGAGATGGAAAATGTTGCTGAAAAGCCCAACGGCACACATGAAAAAATGTTGGCTGACTCTGATTTTGTAGAAAGTGTTCCCAAAGCACAAATTAATCATCAAGATTTTGCTGGCAGAGATGCTAGATTTGTCGGTTGGGACATTGATTTCTCAGAACTCCATCCTTCCACTGAATTAAGCTTCAGCGGATCAAGTAGCTTTTCATCCACACAAAATGGAAAAGGTGGGAGGAGAAGTCCTGCAGTGGATGATAGTTCATCTACTTGCTCCACAGATTCAACCCCTTCAGTTGTTACGAATGCACCTTACTCAAACCATAAAGACCTGAAGTCGCCACCTATCAGGCATGACATATTTTACTATGCTTCTTAACATTTTTACTATATAAAAACATAATGTTTGCTTCTTCTCTTAGTTCTTTTTGACACATTTTAAAGTCACATGCCTCTCTACTTCCTAGTAGGGCTAAGGTGTAGTACACACACCCTCCGTAGACCCTACTTTTTTGTGTGGGATTTTATTGGGTTTGTTTGTTGTTGTACATTATAAAGTTAAATGACCCCGTATAATTTTTGTTCTGTATCTTAACTTATTATCAGAGGGAAGAACCACCGACACAAGTCAGATGATTTTCAGAATCATCAATTAGAAAGTACTGATATGGGGCACCTGAGTGACACATCTGGTCTTTCTTCACATGAGCAACCTGCTATTCAGAAGGTTGTTTGTCTTCACCCTCTCCTTCCCATTTTTTCCTTTCGTTCTCTAAGAATTGGTGAAAATCAGACATCAAGCTTAAAGATACTAGTATCATCTAAGTGTTAAAAAGAAAATGTCTCTACACTTGGTTGATTTCATATCCCTCCTTGTGCGGTGGGACATGCACTCAATTGAGTGAAAGGTAAATGCTAATGTCTTTGTATTCATATACCGTTTGTGAATTGGCTGATCCCACCCAAACCAAATGAATATGGTAATTCCCTTTGAGAGAAAATTATGGGATAAAAAGTTAATTCCATTTGGGAGATGGCTATAGTCTTAATATGTGAAATTTCTGAGATGAAATCTTTGTCTTATTGATTACACATTTATGTTCATTTCTTAAAGAATGATTGGTCTCTGCATTGCTGCATGATAGGAAGTTGTAGTTTTGCAACTAAAAGGGCATAATGAAGCTTATACTGACGGACCTTCGGTGAATGGAACAAGCGTGCTCTCTCCTCCTCCCAAAGAGGTGTTCTCAAAAGTTAAGTCAAAATCCTTAAAGAGCTCGGCACATTCGAACAATTCTCTTTATGTCAATAAACCGATCCCTACTGTGAGTGACAAGTTACTCAAACCCATGAAGTCTTCTGAACGCTACGTAACAAAGAGTGATTCCCACAGATCCAGTGGTTTAGACATTTTGAAAAAGCCTTCAAGTGAGAAACCCACTTCACATGTTGCATCAAAACCACCGTTGAGTGCTGCTGTAGCTGTGGGACCCACCCCAGTTGCCTCCATAGCCCATACCCAACCGTTTTCAACACGCAGTTTTGTTCCTCAGTCCTACCGAAATGCAATGATGGGCTCCGCTCTTGCTGCTAACTCAGTGGTCAATAATACCTCAAATTCATTCTCTCAAACACCACATGCTCTTCAGCCGTTCTCACGGAGTTCAGCAGAGACTGTAGCTAGCAGCTCAAGTAGCCTGAGCTTTTCGTATGGGACTGGAGGAGTGATGCATAGTGGACCCCAGTGGATGGAAAGCTCCCCCCAAAGGGACAAAACCCGGATTTATGATTCATACAAGCCCGTGGAGAATGGGACCCGCGATGATCTTCCATCAAGGCATCATCAGTCTCCCACTGGCTTCACGGATGAATTTCCACACCTCGACATCATCAATGATCTACTGGATGATGGGCATGGTCTTGGGATGGGTTCAGAACAAAAAGATGAGAGCTTTCATAGTTTCAGCAATGGTGGTTATTCTGGAAGCTTCGTCAATGGCATCAGGGACACACATCAAGAGCATAGGCTGCAAAACTCTGCCCGGGATGGGTTGATTCCTAACCACTGGCAAATGGTCGGTTCGAATCCATATAATGGAACGAGTTACGGTGATACAGGTTACCCATATCACATGATACATGACTATACAATGTTCCCAACTTCTAATGGACTTTGAAGTGTACTCACAAGTATCACCCCAAACTTTTTGTAAAGAATGATTGTACCTTTCTGTGCTCACAGTTTTATTATTACAAAAGGGGAAGCAAAAGAAAAAAAGAAAAAAAGAGGCCATATTTGGGTTATGATGTCTGGCTTACCCTCTTTGGGATTCTTTGAACTTCTTCTTATGTGCTTCTCTTGAAACATTTTGCATATTTGCATGTGCTTAAGTGTCTTTTAGGTGAGCCCTTGGAAAGACAAGATTCAATATCACAATGAATGATGAAATTGCACTCTCCACTCCACCCAATTTTCTTGTTTTGTGTACTTTTGTTTAAATCTTTTATGTCCACCAAGATTGGTATATAGTTGTCTCTTTCACCCTGTGTTTTTACAAATCTTGCACAGGAATTTAAGAGAGCTGCATTGGTTGAGAGTGGAATGGCTGAGAATTCTAACACAGAAGGGAAGTGATTGTGGTAAAATTTGTGATGACTCTAAAGACATTAGTATTTTTCCTTCCTATATCATTCTTCTTCTTTTATGGTAAAGGAATTTAGTCCCACATACCACGGTACCTCTTATGCAATTTCTCATAATGAAGAAATTTAGTAATATGTTAACGCACACCAAAAGTGCGAGATGACCCAGATGAATGAACAATAGAATCCATGGTTTGGGCTGGTATGTTATAGAAACTTGTACAGTGGTACACAACTATTTTGTGTTCTATTAATCGTCTCAATCTGGTATATATACAAGTATAAAAGCAGGCTTAAGTACGGGTCACTATATATTGTTAGAATATAAATAACTGTTCTTGGGCCACAACCACAAGCTTGAGCTTTTGGTTGAGTTGGTTCCTTGACATGGTATCAGAACCTCGTTGACTAAGAGGTCACGGGTTCGAAACTCAGCGCCACCCAGTTTTAAAAAAAAAATTAAGATTAAACGTGCAAGGCTCGAAAAAGACTGCGCCTGCACGTGAGGGGGCGTGTTAGAATATAAATAACTGTTCCTGGGCCGCAACCACAAGCTTGAGCTTTTGGTTGAGTTGGTTCCTTGACATACATGCCTAATTACAAATTATACATATTTATAATAAGTATCCGCTAATGAAATTTGTTTGAGTATAGTATTTCATCTGTCTAAAAAAGATCATTACAATTTAATTTTTTGGTCAAATTGTGTTACATTTTGAACATAAATTGTATTAATAGAGTATATTTAATTTCTTCATATAATGTAAATTTAGTAAAACTAGATTCATTTTAAAATATGGTTTTGATATATAACTTGTTTTTATAAAATTTAATTTTTTAAAACCATATTTAATCTATAGTCAAAATATTGTATAATTTCACCCAAAACGTCAAATTGTAAGTTTTTTTGGGACGAAGGGCGTATGTCTTCATTTCATGGCATGAACGGAGTGGTGAAGACACTCGAAGTCCATTCAAAAATCTTTAATAAATCCTTAAATAAATTGTAATAAAAACGTATATAAATATTTAAAAAGTACTCCATAACAATTTAGTTTACAAGTCTAATAAAGTTGGATTAAAAAATAATGCGGATGAATATTTGAGTTTAGACATTTATGTGTGTCTCTGGACAAGGTTCCATTTTAAATCGGTTCGAGACGAGTTTAAGACATGGTTTTATCATTTCAAACGAAACGAGATATTATTCGGACAAGACCATAATATTTTGAAATGGAATAACGAGATAAAAATTCTTGCATTCCCATACAAAGTCAAATAAATGAAGTTACACATATTTTCATTTGAATTTTTGTACTTCCTCCGTTCTACAAATAATTTCACATTTACACATATGGCTTTTAAACTTCGCTTCCTTATAAATAAACTTCTTTTGAGTACTTTTTATGACGGATGAAGTAAATTTTTTACTTTTAGTTGTTTTTTAAAAAATATTTTAGCAAATAAAATTCGCTAATTTTTTTATACTTTATTAAGAGTTTAGAATTGCACATTTGTATAATATGACTTTTTTGTCTCAAAAGGTTGAATCCCCAACCCCAAGGGTCACCACACCCGACCAAGCAAGTAGAGAGAGGGAGGTAATTCAGGATCCGGTGACTCGTTAAAGGAAAATGCTTTGTCCAAAAAACATGCAAGGATTCCATTCTTACAGCCCAAACTGACTTCAAAATATCATTCTCACACTACACGCCGCAGGGACTTGACCTTGCGTCTTGTTACAAATCTATCCTTTCCAGAACCAACTGAGATACCCCTACGGCCTTTATGACTTTTTTAATGAGAGGAATGGTCAAACTAGAATACTTTTATCGAAAACATAATATTATGTTTGATAGTACTTTCTCTATTTCAAAATTAAACTCACAGTTTCTATTTTCGGCATTCAAAAATTAGAATTATAACTTTCTGCTATCATTTAAAAAAAAGGAATATATGACGGCCAAATAGCTCCGGTGCCCCCTGTGGTTTGGAAAATTGGCACCAATACCCCTTCTATTTTCAAAACTTACTTCTAAAGTCCCCGTGGTTTCAAAATGCTGCACCCGTGCCCCCTCTGATCATTTTCCGGCCGTTTTCCGGCGAAGAGGGGACATTTGTGCATAATTTTTAAATCATAGGGGGCATTCGTGCTCATTTTTTATTTTCGTTTATTATTTGTGTTTTTCTTTTTTTAAAAAACAAATATTTTCTATCTCTTTTTTCTTTTCCTATATTTTTTTCTAATTTATTTTTAATTTTTTATAATGTTTTAAAATTTTAAAATTTTTTGTGTTTGAAAAAAAATAAAAATAAAAAGATTAACATACATTGCATCTATTTGAAATTAAACATTTTCACTTTTTGTTACGTACTTATTTGGAAACTTCAAAAAGAAAAACCTAGAATAAAAAAATAAAAATATGGAAAAAAAAAATACACAAAAAAAGCCTGTACAAAAAAATGGACAAGCCTAAAAAAGTCTTTAGAATTGAGATGTTCGAAAAAGATATTCATTTTTATTTTTGTATTATTTTGTTTCTTATTTTATTCCTCATTTTTTTAAAATTCTCAAAAAAAGTTTACTTTTTTCCGAAAAAACAAAAAATGTTGATTTGAGAAGTACATATACATTATATGTTAATTTTTTCAAACAAAAATAACTTTAAATTTTATGAACATTATAAAAATAATTTTAAAAAAACCTTTATTAATAAAAGAAACAAATAAAGGAAAAAAATGGAAAAAAACAAAAAAAATAAGTGAGAAATAAATATCACCACCGATACCCCCTGTGGTTTAGTAAATATGCAGCAATGCCCCCCTTCTTCGCCGGAAAAATGGCCGGAAAATGATCAGAGGGGGCACGGGTGCAGCAATTTGAAATCACAAGGACTTTAGAAATAAGTTTAGAAATAAGTTTAAAAAATGACTACCAATATTTTTTTTTCCCAAAATGATTTTTTTTCCAAATCTTTTTTCGTGAAATCAAAGCTGGATTTTAAATTTCGGACGAGCAGTATAAAAACTAGCAAAGGCCTCGTTACTAATGAAGCTTAAAATCAGGGCCCAACAAACCCAAGCCCAATAAATGTTCATATCCAGAAATCCCTAACCCTAGGCCGCAATATATACCTTCTCAGACATTGTAAGCGGATCGGCAGCCTCTGCACTCTCCCGAGCTTCATTTCATCGTCTTTCTTGTTTCCTATACTATCACCATGGTAACCCAATCGCGAAGCTTCTTCCTTCGATCTCCGTCGTTATGCGTTTTCACTGATGAATCTGTGTGTTTTAATGGCAGGCGGACGTAGAACACGATATGGCGGCCGGGCAGCCAAAGAAGAGGACGTTCAAGAAGTTCAGTTTCAGAGGCGTCGATCTCGATGCACTCCTCGACATGCCGACCGATCAACTCGTCAAGCTCTTCAGCGCCCGTGCTCGGAGAAGGTATTCTGTTAGCCCGTTTTTTAATCATCAGAAGAATAGTGTGATTACTGTTGTATAAATGCTGATCCGGAGTCGAAATCGTTCTGTTGTTGAATGATAGGCTCGGAAGGGGTTTGACGAGGAAGCCCTTGGCTTTGATTAAGAAGCTCCGCAAAGCGGTATGTTTATACCTTCTTCTTCATTGATTTGTGATGAATAATCATGTCTATAATTTTGTTTATGCTTCTGTATAAGTCTTTCCTGTTTTTTCTTTGTTGGTAATTTGCAATCAGCCCGCTTGATTGATTTTGATTCTTAGACCCCTCACACTTGGTATTAATGCTAGTCATTCTTTTAATGCTTTACTACAAATGTAATGATTCAATATTCATATTAAACTGTACTCTTCAATGGATGCAGTTCTGCTGTCATTTTATCATTATTCTGAGTTTTGTTTTTCTCAGAGAATTATTATTTTTGGTGTTGTCTCTTTCTTATTCAAATGTTGTGGCATACAATGGATTAAGCATTGTTATGATACGGAGTATATGAATATGTACTTATATACTTGCATTTAGGAATATTGTTGATGCTGAATTGTAATTTGTAGTTGAAGTCACACTCATTTCTGTTTGTGCGTATGATTGTTTTGCTACTCATGCCAATTAATGTTATTTGGAGGGTACTCTCCTGTTCAGATTAGTAATTTTCCTCATTCTTCATAGCTTGTCACTTCTAGGCCAGTCAAGTAGAAAAGGAGTTTTATTTCTTGTTTGATTTCAACCATTCTGAACCAACTTTATATAGGGAGAGATATAGAGTAGCCAAGCGCCTTGGGCCGAGCCCTTCCCTCATAAAAGAAGGGGTGGGGTGGTATTCCACAGAGATAGGTTATTAATTGTGGCACATCTTTGATGTGGTAGGCGTATATTAAATTATATTGGGACTCCATGGCCACTTTGCAGCTTCAAGCTTACTGCCCAGTGAGGGGAGTGCCCAATATTTTTCTGTTTGGCAATTTCACATGGATGGGACTGAATATTTGGTTTTATTTTTTATCTTTTGCCATAATACTTATTTGCAAGATGTTTTATACAAAATTTTATTGTAGAAACTTGAGGCCCCAGCAGGCGAGAAGCCTGACCTAGTGAAGACTCATTTGAGGAACATGATTATTGTTCCGGAGATGATTGGCAGTGTAATCGGAGTTTACAATGGCAAGACATTCAACCAGATTGAAGTGAAGCCAGAGATGATTGGGCACTATCTGGCGGAGTTCTCCATCTCCTACAAGCCCGTCAAGCACGGTAGGCCGGGTATTGGTGCCACTCACTCTTCAAGGTTCATCCCTCTCAAGTGATCTGTCACACCCTTCGAATTTTATGCTTTCTTTTGCATTTCTGCTCAACCCATGAATGTGAGAAGACCCTAGTAATTTTTTTTACTTTTACAGACTGCTGGTTGTTGGCACTCATGAATCTGCTTATTGCATTTTGTTTTAACTTGTTTTTCACTACGTACTTTGCTACCTTCTAAGAGAGCTTTCTATTCCGGGGTTGGCTTTTTTCATCTCTTATGTGTGATAACTCATTATTTTTTAGTGATTATTTTGCACTTTTTTTTGGCTAAGTGTATCTTGGAAAGAACCTTCCTACTACTGAGACTGAGTAGGGATTAAGTTTTCGACTGCCATACACAACTTGAACTCTGCCTTTTGTGGGATCTTACTGGGCTTGTTCTAGCACTTGTGTTTTTTTTGTTTTACGATATGTACTCTTTTTTCCACACATCAATGTTTATTTTGAAATTATGTAGTATTCATTATGAAAAAATATAGTATTAATTATGATTTAACATATATAGTGCTTATTATGAAATTATATTGTGTTAATTTTCATACATTTATTCAATACAATTAAATACTCCTTTATGAGCTAGGGTTTTGTTCATCCGCTAGAGCAGCTCTTCTTCCTCAATCAGACTTAACCAACTTCACCCGACAGTCTGACGGCGTCCCCTTTGATTTCGTCGCCCACCCTTCGCCTAAGCCTCTCCTCCAATCTAAAGTTGTCGGTTCTCCTCTCTGCTTGCGTCTTTATCCGTTTCCTTTTATCACTTGTACCCAATTTTGGATACAAGTGATTGTATGATATAATTTTTGCCCAAATACTCATACTCAAAAACCTTCAGAATCTCCTTCAAAATAGGTTTCTAATGTCAAACAGGGTGGGCAGCTCCTTCACAATAACCGTTCTGAAACTCTATGTGTTAACCTTGTGCTTCGACACAAGTTCATGTACTCTCTATTCCATAATGAATGTCATTCTTTGAACAACGTAAACAATCTAATTACTCATAATTATTTTAATTACAAATTGATATAGAAAAAAATATCCTTCCATCTAAATTTAGATTGTTTTTTTATTGTCCTAAAATAAGTTGTCTATTTTCTATTATACTGCGTAGTTAACTTTTATGGATAAAATGTCTAAACTACCCTTTTGAATAATTTACTCCCTGTCTACCCTCTTTGGCCGCCTTATTTGCCCACTTTATCTTCTCATTACTCATGAGTCATTAGTCGCGAGTAATTCATTGTGCTCATTCATGGGCCAAGAGACCAAGAGAGAGGGCGGAATCTACTCAAACGACGAACAAAGCAATGACGGCGTTTTGGCTTTGCTTCTTTTCGCCGGCGGCTAGATTGTGTTTTTGATTGATTCCTGTAGGATAGGGATGGCTAAGGTGTGGTGGTGTTAACACTATCTCTAGAATCCATTTTTTGATCTTGTGCTAGTTCCAGATCTACATTTTCTTGGCTATTTAAGGCTTGTTTCAATTTCGATTCTTGTGCAGGTAATCCATCGTATTTTTTAATGTAGCCGTACTTTTTCTCCAAAATTTCCTATTTTCATATGTTCAATTTTTCACAAGTGTAATTTTTATTTCTTTCAGATCCTGAAAAGTTATAGGATGAAATTCTAGATCTTGTGTTCATGTAGAAATGTTGTACTTTTACTGAGTTGATTCTCAAATTTCGATCTCAGAATGAAAATTTTGGGTCTTGAATATTGCACGTCTATTGTCAATGTTGATTTAAATTTGGTGTTTGGGTGTGATTTGGTTGGATGTAATTTCATGGTTAATGTTTGAATTTAATTTGGTGTGATGTAATTTAGATGTCTTTGGTGTTTGATTTCATTGATATTTGATTGTATTGACTTTATGTGATGTGTTTCCTCTCGATATGGAATGGGAGGGAGAGCTGAGAATTCCTATCTTTTCAATTATTGTAATAAAGTCACTTTTGAAAAGTCAATACTAATTTTTAACATATTTATATATGAGTTAAAGTCAAAATAGGCATTTTAAAACGAGACAAAAGGGTAGTATAAATTATATCATTTAAAAGTACATAAAAAATTTTATAAACCAGAGGTGATAAGAATATTTTATTTAAGACAGAAGCAGTAATTTTAATTTTTAAGATTCTATAAATATAATTTTATTTATTTTAATTTTCTAAAATTAATAAAATATATCATTGTGTTACTTTTTAACTTTAGTTTAAATATTTATTAGATATATTAAATTTCAATATTTTGTGAAATGTTAACAATTCAATGCCATATTTAGATTTTTTTATTTTGTATTTTGTCTCATTTTCTAAAAAAACATTTCATAAGTATAATATACATTTTCTTTTATAATTAGACACAATTTTTCAAATGAAGTGATTTGAAAAAATAATTTTAGTTAAATATCATAATCAAAACAAAGAAGATTTTTACCAAATGGAAGGAGAAGTTTGTTTCTACCAAGTCATAATCATGGAACTTCTAACATAACCAATTCAACACAAGTAATTAACATCCTTATGTTTCACGAAATTATTCTATTTCACTTTCCACTTTTGGTCATTAAATATTCAACTCCATTGAAAGGTCTATTTTACTCCAATTAGTCTTTACCCAACTTATTACTCCGTATATCTTACTCCCTCCGTCCCACTCTCTTTGTTCACTTACCTTTTGGCACACCATCCAATGCACTTCTTTAATCCATTTTATCTTGTAATTTGCATATTAAAAAATTATAGAAATTATATATTAATAATCTATATGTTAAGACAAATCAAACAAGATCACACATGACTATATTTAGGCTTACACATTGAGAAAATTTGATGAGTCAAAGTGCTTAAATGAACAGTTCCAAAAGTCAAATGTGGACAAAGAGAGTGTGACGGAGGTAGTATTAATTATTTATGACATTGAATTTTTATACATTACATCCAAAAGAAAAATTTCTAATTTAATTACTCGTACAAAATAAGGATTATACTCTCTTGAAATTTACCAAAAGTTAAAAAGGAAACTTTTTTGCAAAGTAGGAGTGGTTTGAAATTAACATACGGAGTATATAGTAGGAAGAGTTCAATTCAATAAATAAGGAAATTGTTCATTCAAGCAATGAATTATACCTTCAAATGAAGAGAAAAACTCCACTTGATACAATTGGAATGTATACACTCAACATTAAAAAAAACCATAATAATAACTTGAGACGTTTCATTATTTTCGCATTTTGAAAACCCGATCTTTCTTTACAGAAATTGGGTTAGAAGTCTAGGAATTTGATGCTTCTTTATTTTCTCCCTCACAGGAAAACCACCCTTTAGCATAAGCAACGCCACATGCCAGGGCGCCGAAAACGAGTACTATGATAATGCTGAAAATGACTTCCTGCGCCATCCTACCTTCCTGGTGGTAGATATATTACTCTTTCTGTCTCTCTAAAATCTTATCGTTTTGACCTTTTATGATTTTAAAAAGAATTAAAAAAATAAGATTTTACCCAAATATTTTTAATGAAATTGGATGGAATATATTAAATGCGATGGGTGGAATGTAATGAGGGATAGAGTATATTTAGGGGCATGCAACTAACTACTGTACTAATTAAAGAAGGCGTCCGGCATTTATATAGGTGGCCATCCAAGTAGCGACCGGCAGTGGTTACTATGAAGTTTGACTTTAAGTCTTAAATTAAGTGATGAACATCATCAGTGATGTCAAGAAACTTTTGGCGAAGTCAAGAAACTATTGGGCTCACGGCGACCAAACAAGCATGATCCATCTCTACCACTATTTACTTCCATTTCTGTTGTTGAACCGCCTCAACTCCACTCTCATCTTCATTACCAATTGGGTCATCCAAAACAACAATATTTTAAGAAATATTTGCACTAAATAGCAATAAAACTTAAGTCATTTCTCTAAATAGGACTTAAATTGTTTTATTCCCTAAATAGCACTTCATAATATCCAGTGATGACGAATATTAACTTGAATAATAACTAATGCATAATGATTAAAAGTGCTACATTGGAAAAGAAACACATGTGATGCTATTTAGGAAAAGTCATTATGTTTTAGTGTTATTTAAGTAAATTCCCCATATTTTAATTACAAAAATGTTACTTTGACCTTAAAGTTTGAGTCCCACTTTTAACCCCACCCCTTTACAAATCTTATAGACATTTATAGACATCCAAAACTGTCCCATTTGTTTGCCAGTGTCTGTACGATTTTCATATCTTTTCAATCTTACGAACACTCACAGACATTTTTTTATTATAAGTTTGTCATGATATACCAAAAGAGAGATTTTCCCCTCGTCCCGAAAAGATGTTCTCATTTTGACTTTTGAAAAATTCAAGGGAGAGATATTTTATGTTAACTTTTCAGACACTTTTAATATGGGTAAAAGTGGATCTTTAATAGAAATGAGAAGGATTATGTGGGATAAGTAAAAAAAGAAAGGAGAATGAGTTTTTGGGACCAAGAGAGTACATCGTAGCCACGCTTTCTCCCAGAGCACTTCAACAACTTCTCGTCATAAAAAAAAATCTTTTCCTCTAAAGAACACCACAAAGTCCTTGTTTCTAAAGAGCAGAATGCCCCCGGTTAATTTCTGTTTAAAGCGGCCACGCATTTTTTTTTTGAAATACATTAATACTTGCATGTGATGGACTGCATCTATTGGGAATTGTGGTACATGAGGGCTCGTTTGCTTCATGGAATTTGAAATGAATTAGGAGCTGAAATTCTATGAAATTGATTTAGATGGAATTGAGTTCTCCATTTTCAATTCATTTTTGGCACCACTAATTCCAAATCTACATATTCTTGTGCTACCAAACATCAGAATCTAAATTATTGTCCTCAATTCCAATTCCAAAATTTGAAATCCGTGTACCAAACGAAGCTTGAGTGAAATGAACTACTCCATCCATTCTCAAATAACTGTACATTAAGAAAAAAACACGATTCTTGAGATGATAATTCATCCATTCATTAATTCATTCATGAATGAACTGAAAAGAAAGAAGGATTGTGAGCCACATGATTCATTCTTTAAAGGTAAAAACAAGAGAAGCATGAAATTATCTCTTATGGGACAGTAGTCCAAAAAGGAAACTGCAAAGTTTATTTTGGGCTACCCTATTGGTTTGTTTAGGTTAGCTAAGAAAAATAGTTTCATTTATTGTTTGATTCCAACCATTTTGAACTAATCTCATATAGGGGAGATATATATATAGATTAGCAAAGCGCCTATGGATTATTTTGGATACAACCTTTCTACCGCCGTACACACCTTAGTGAACTCTATTCT